AGCGACGTCCTGATCCAGGGAGGGTCTGTGTTGTACCAAATACCTTCCACTTCTTAATAATAGACTTCACTGTGCTCCTAGGCATTGATAAAGCCTTTGAATTTTTTTTTTATCCATTTCCTGACTTGTGCCTGTCCACATCTTTATCCCGGAGATCTTTTGACTGTGCCTTGCCACCCATAGTTGATTGTTTGCTTCAGTTGCACTAGCAAGGCCTGAAATGCTCCACGCCTCTCTGAGCAGTTTCCTCCTGGCTCTTTCATCCAGTTTGGAGCGACGTCCTGATCCAGGGAGGGTCTGTGTTGTACCAAATACCTTCCACTTCTTAATAATAGACTTCACTGTGCTCCTAGGCATTGATAAAGCCTTTGAATTTTTTTTTTATCCATTTCCTGACTTGTGCCTGTCCACATCTTTATCCCGGAGATCTTTTGACTGTGCCTTGCCACCCATAGTTGATTGTTTGCTTCAGTTGCACTATCAAGGACTGAAATGCTCCAGTAAAAGCTCTTTTCATGCTGAGCTAATCAAAATGAGCACAGCTGATCACAGTTAAAAGTCAAAGGGCTTTGTGTGCCATTGAGAAGGTGACATTAGCTATACCTGATTGAGTTTACAAGTCATTTTTAAGAGTGGGGGGTGACCTTTTTTCCAACTCAGTGATTCTGTTGTTTTTTTTGTTTTTATCTTTCACTTGGATGTTATAAGTTGCACTGAGTAAATACAGCAGGATAAAACAAAAACTGTGTCCATCTTCATTTCAGGCTGCAAGGCAACAAAATGTGATTACAGATTACACTGTATGTCAGAATTGTGTCAATGGCAAAGAGTATTACTCAGAATGGATAGGGGAGGAAAAATTAATCCAGTTATGACATAATTCTCCTACTAAATATCTTTCTTGAAAGCTGATTTGGTAGAAAAGGGATCTAATGAGAACTTAAAAGATATATAATGCACAACTATGAGAATTTTTTTTTATCTTTATCCAACTATACAATGCCAATTAATTGCCATAACGTAACTCTTACCTCAGTCTGCAAGATGGCAGCACGCTGTTCCTTGGCAAAGAGAGACTCTTTGAGTACATCAATGTGCTGTTTGCTGTCAGAAAACTGATTGGTGAGCGTCTCCAGTTTAGTCTGCAGGCCCAAGAGCTCAGTGTCCTTCCTGGAGAGATCCTGCTTCACCTGGTCAATCTGTGCAAGACAAACATTTGCTCTAAGTATGTGGAAAACTCTCCAGAAACTCCCCTTCAAACCAGACCTCCAAGCTCTGGTCAAATCTCACACACAACTTCCCCCGAAAACACCTTTGCAGAATACAAATGCAGCAATGTTTTGCTTTAAAAGCATAAAACAGAATGAAATCTGTAGTCATAGGTCTGACGTGGGAACAAAACGCTAGTTACGAATGTAACTGTGGTTCTGTGAATTCCGGATGACCGCGGTGCTTAAGCACTAGTGGATTATCACAGCGCCAGCTTGATAGGTCGCAATAATATATAAAATATACCAGGCAAAAGTGCATGGGAAAGCCCAATTAGCAGCAGCACAAATATCCTCTATAGAGACTCCTCTGAAAGCAGCCCAAGACGTAGACACAGCCCTATTGGAATGACACCCTCTGGCAAATGTTTTTGGGCTTTTTTGTAATCCATAGTGATGACCTCCACAATCCAATCTGACAATCTCTGCATTGACACAGCGGTCCCTTTCCTTGCACCACCATAACAAACAAAAAGCTGATCTGTGCTCCTAAGATGAACAGTAGGAGTCACATAGCCCTTCAGGGCTCGCACAGACACAAAAGGTGACACAAAAGGTGAGCTGCCAAATTGATTGACTGATTTGTAAACTGTGGAAGCAGAACTTCAGGTAGAAAAGAAGGATTTGGTCAGAGCACAACACCAGAATCATCTGGCAACCAACGCATGCATAACTCACTAATGGACAAAGCATGTAACTCACTTACACACTTAGTTAGCAGAAGCAATTGCAAACAAAAAAAAACAGTTTTTAAAGATATTCATTTCAGGTCAGCTGTCTGCAAAGGCTCAAACGGTGGCAGACAGACAAAATCAAGAACAAGCGGCAAATCCCATCCAGGAAAATGGGGGTTACGAACTAGTTTCAACCACCTCGCACCTTTCAAAAAAAACAGCACACAAGAGTATGAGAACCAAGAGAAGAACCATTAACCAGTAAATGATGCGCAGAAATGCCTGCAACATATACCTTCAGTGTGGAGCTGCTTTGCCTGAATCCAAAAGATGCTGCAAAAAACTAAGAACTCCAGGAACGTCACAGCATATAGGACCTAACCAACGTTCGTCGCACCATGACGAGAAAATCCTCCAATGTGCTGCATAGAGCTGACATGTGGGTGCAGCTCTAGCACTAGATATGGTATGAATGACAGCGGGCTCACAATCTGCTAAGAGATAGTCGGCCCCAGAGGCCAAACCCATAGCTGCAGACTGGCTGGATCCAGATGCCAAACAGCGCCATCCATCTGTGACAACAGGTCCTTCCAAAGCAGAAGCTGCCATGGCCTGCCCACCAATAGTCTCAGCCTCAGACGTCACGCCCACGGACCGTTGGCTGAACGTCTGATGCATATGGCACACAAAAGTGGAAACACTTCAGGAGTTTCGAAGTCGTCATCAGATTAGTTAAATTCTACAGGATTTCCAGGAGACGTGTGTCGCGTTCTTTAACGTTCCGCCTGGAAACAAAGATGCCGTGGCGCCAAACCCCCTCACAAAAGAAGAAAGCCGTCGTGTTTACAACTGTGACGACGAGCGCTTATCAGGATCAACTAAACTCTGGATATTCAAAAGTATGTGAAATATTTAAAGTTTGCAGCATAGAATCTTTAAAATACGTCCGAGAGTTTTACACACCGGTCTGTTATTGTGGCGACACCGAAACGTCCCGAAACGTGATGCTGAAACGAAACGAACTGTGATTGGTTGTTTGACATGTTGGTCAAACGGCCTCATGGGCGGGCCTTGGCCAATGAAAGCTGCCATGGATTCCAGACCTTCAGCCGACAGTCTGAAGGTCTGGCTATGCGAGACTATCCCACCAATAGCGACAGAAGCATGGGAAACCAAGGCCTGGCTGGCCATCAAGGTGCTACAAGTAACACTCTGTGGTTGCACATATTCTGTGTAATGTGTCCCACAGAAGTGGAACAGGAGGGAACGCATAAAGCAGACAGTTTGGCCACTCGTGAGACAGAGCATCCTGCCCCAACAGGCTGGATGTCTCTGTTCTCGCAAACCACAAGCGACAGTGAGTGTTTGCTTCTTTTGCAAAAAGATCCACTTCTGCTTCGCCGAACTGCTGCCATATCTTCTGCACCACATCCTGGTGAAGCCTCCATTCCCCTGGGTGCAGAAGATCCCTTGACAGAGCATCCGCTACCTGACTGCTCGATCCCGGGAGGTGACCTGCCCTCAACGATGGAAGAGACCAAGTGAGTATCTTGTCTGTGAGATGCAGAGACTTGAGGGACTTTGTTCCACCTTGATGGCTCAGGTGAAACACTGTCAAGGTGTTGTCGGACCAAATGAGGGCATGACGGCCTGCCAGAACTGGCAAAAAATGCTGCAGGGCTATGAAAACTGAACGCAATTCTAGGAGATTGATGTGGTCCCTGGACCGAGCTGGAGACCAATTTCCACAAACACCCCTGTGATTCCATGATTCCCCCCACCCGAGGAGGGAAGCATTGGTTGTGACCACCTCTCAATGAGAAGGAATGACCCCTAGGGGAACACCTGACATCAGAAACTCCCGACGATTACACGGTGTCAATGCCTGGATACAACTGCGCAAGATAATCTGCCAATGAAGAAGTCTGGCAGGGTTCAACTGCAAGCTGTTGTTCCACTGCTGGAAAGGCTTGAGGTGGAGCAAGCCAAGTGGAATCACAGAAGTGGCAGCGGTCAGCATCCCCAAGATTTGTAACTACGTATTGTACGGCAAGCTTGCACCCAGCTGGAAATGAGAAAGGAGCTGCAGAATACTGTCCACTCGGGCATGTGAGAGGGTGGCAAACATTACACGTGAGACCAGTGACATTCCAATGTAAGCAATTGTTTGCACTGGATTCAGACAACACTTTGCCTCGTTTACTGCAAGACCTAGTTTCTGCACATGCTCAGTCTGGTGTCTCGGCCAGCTTGTTGTTTTGTCTAAACCACAGCGGATGTAAAGGTGCATTCATGCACCTTGTGAAGACACGAGGGGCCAGAGACAGGCCGAACAGTAGGACCTTGAATTGGTATGCCTGATTTCTGAAACTGAATCGAAGAAATTTCATATGGTGAGGAGCAATCGGAACATGAAAGTAAACATCTATCAAATCAATGCTTGTAAATGGTATCAGCATATTCCATAGATGCCTGTGTACAGGCAGTCTTTGACCACGGTTAATGTGCACTAGACCCTATGAGGGAGATAGAAAATTCTGCAATGAAATCCTTGCATGGTGGCATAGCAAATCCAGCCGAAACTGTCTAAAAAAGATGTTGGACTGGGCTGGCTGTACTGGTGAGTTATCCAGCCCTAAGCAAGCAACTGCCATCTGGAGCACAGCTAAGGTATCATCCGCGGAGGATGGAGTTAGTGCTGAGTGAATCGAATACCCACTAGAACCCCCCGCAGCTGAAAAAACTGAAGATATATCTGAAGGCAGCGTTTTATCTCTGATATCTCAGCAACTGTCTTAGAAAGAGAAGCTTCATCTACCTGCTTGTTCTGTGACGTTGCCTTCTCAGATGGGGCAGCCACAGATGCACCGCGTTTCTGATTCCATGTGGTAGGTTGCGGCTCTGTTCCTCCGAGTCTCACTGCAGACTTGGGGTCCCATTTGCCATCTCTCAGACATAGGTAAAAGGCTACAGTGCAAACACTGGTCCGTGAGAGCCTCTCTCATATGCTTAATTCCAAAGCAGGACGGACAAACATCATGGCTATCGTTAGATAGAACAGTATTAGGGCACAGCTTACATGTTAATGGGAATCCAGTAGTAATAGAACCGTGAGCCATGATCACCGCAATAACAGAGAAAAACAATGTATAGACTTGACAACTGGCAGTCGGATTGCACCGACTGAGCTAGTGAGTCTATTATACTCGAGGCTCAGCCTACGACACCACGTGACTTTTTTGGTATATTATCTCAACCTATCGAGCTGGCTCTGTGATAATCCACTAGTGCTTAAGCACCGCCTCTGGTGGTCAGGAGGAATGAAACAGAACCTTGGATTTGATCTACCCTGATCTAAGGTAATCTAAACACATATTAGACAAATTAAACTTGCAAATCCGTTGAATTAGACTGCAAAAACACAGAGCATTACCAGGTTATTTTAGCATACAGCAATTCCTGTAAATAGAAAAACGATGTATTGAGCTCAAAAACAGATAGACACATAGCACTTCATAATGCTCAGTCTTTTCACAAAAAAAAAAAACATCCACAAAAAAAAAAAAAAAAAAAATGGCCTACAGCAAAACCAATTAAACAAATTAATTAACCCAGAAAAAGCCAGTTACAGTGCAAGATCAGCAGGGTTAGAAGCAACTAACACGCAAGTAGCAATTTACTGAGGCACAGCAGGCAGGGGTGGGATACTGCAGGCCCAAGGCAGCCAAATAACACAACAGGACATGCCGTATGACAGCTGACCTGCCTGCCCAGAGTATGTCAAACATTCATTCTTGAAAGATAAACAAGCATTCGAATTAAGTACAAATTTAAATCCATTTTCCATAAACAGACAGTAAACAAAGTGTTAAGACACTAAAAAAACAGACAACAAGTGTTCATGGTCTTAACATTCCCAGCATGCACTGGGGCAGCTATAGCAGGTTAGCATGGCCTAAAGCTGTAACTCTACTGGCTGACAGTCACCCTAGTGAAAACAAGTGTGCGCAGGCACAGAAGATGGTGAGAGAGACAATTCAGAGTGATAGAGAGAGAAAGAGTCAAGCCTCATGGACATTAGTGCTCTACTCCAACCAACACTACAAACAAAAGAGAGAGGAAAAGAAAGCAAGACAGGTGAAATGCTCCGTGCGAGTCTAGTGTGGCATCCGACCTTTCGGCACAGCGTTGGGCTCTGCTTTCCTGATCAGAGAAACCCTGAGATTTCACCCGGTCGGCCTGAACACTGCCGCCCACCGATCCGACTATTGTGACAACAGTCGAGACTCAAAAGTGAATATTTTTTATCAGTTCCCTTCACCACCCCGGGACCTTTTCCACTGTTCCCTCCCATCAAGTGTTGCGACTCTTTGTCTGTGTCCAAGAGTAAATTTCCCATGATTTTCTCTTTAAGTTCTGTTTAAGCTGATATTGATATGGGAAAAAAGACTGAGGTGGTCAATTAGTATGAAAAAAAACGATACTGACTGACCACTAATCAGAATATTGAGAGAATGCAGCGATATAGAAAATGTGACTGATACAAACAGCCATTGTTGTTATTATCGGTTTTCAGTCATTGAAATAAATCTGAAAGAACACATATATATAAATAATAATATTATATGAGAAACTTCAACTTGTTGAAATGTTGCCTTAGAAACTTACTGAAATTAGTTTAAAATATACATATAAACAAACTATACAAAATATGAAAAAAAAAAATGATAGCACAACACAATTGGCAAAAGTTACACAATTACTTTACCTAAAACTAAAATTAAGATGAAAACTGAAAATATAAAAATAAAAGCTAATTCAAAACATTAATAAATACTATATAAATACTATTTACTAAAATAACACTGCCAGTAACTAATATGAATATGTATTTTTTATATATAAAAGAAAAAAATATTTATATTTATAGAATATGGTAAAATAATTGGTTTTGTTTTGTTTTTTTTACTCTGAGCAGAAGGCATAAATAATTTATTAATAATATATTTAAAAAATATATTAAATATATTCTTAAAAAACGATATATAAAATAATAAATTCGCCTTGCCCTTCAAGGCTTCTGTAAATCAGACATTTATACAGTGAATCTCTTGCAGGAAAAAAAACCTGCTTGAGATAAAGTGTCAGTTAGTGGGCTTAGCGTGAATCTCTATTTGGGGTCTGAGTGGGCGAGATGCCCTCTCTGGTGAGGGAAGCAGAGCTGTGCGTATTCTAAGCCGGTTCTCTGGGTTTCTTACAGCAGAGACCTCTTGCTGCAGCTCAGCCGCCTGCTTTTTCAGCTCCTCGCCCTGAGCTTCGCTCTGTGCCAGTTCGTCCTTCAGTTGCTCTACCTGTTAGGAGAGGGCGATGTTATTGCAACAACCACCAACCACCGATCACCAACTCGCATGCACACCCTGTGCCCATCCAAACATCACCCACGTTCACGTGATGTTATCAGCAACCAAACCAATCAGCATTCACCACACAGGCCATGCGGTTATGATTTAGCCATTCAGCTGCAATTAAATGTCATTAAAAATGGGACATTTTTAAAAACTAAATGGAAAGTTTACTAAAGAAAAACAATATCTTAATATAAATAAAATAAAAAAACTATAAAATATATACTTAAATATACATATAGAATAGAATATTTAAAAAAAATAAAAAATAAAGACTATAAAAGCAAAAATAAAAAAAACAATTAAAAATGCAACGTCAAAAAAGTTAGTAATGATAATAATATATGTAGGCATTTTCATGCTTCTTTATCTAGCTGCGATACACACCATACCATAACACTAGTATCAGAGTAAATATTAGCAACACCACATGATGTCTGGTAAAATTCAACCCTAACAAAGAGTCAAAAACAATAAATCTGTGTTCAAATAACACATGACCTGCACAGGTTAAAAAAGCAAAACAGTTGTAGTTCCCATGAGCCGCAGGTTCTACCTTATTCTTCATGAACTTGGAGTGACTGCGGTAGACCTCCATTTGTTTCATCTCCTCCTCTCTCTCCTCTGTGCTGAGAGCCCCGTTTGACTTGAGCATCTGTATCTCGTCCTCCAGGTCCCTCAGACTGCGCTCCAGAGAACTGATCTTAGAATCCTGCAGAGATCACAGAGATGTTTGATGAGGAAACGGACAAAGCAGAGGAATGGAGGACATGAAGGTGCAAAACTTTTAATATCTTATCAAGGGGATAGTTTATCATACAGAGGTGTTTTTCACTTTAGGCTTGAAACATGACTATAATAACGACTTTAATAATGTGACACTCTTAAAAATCAAGGTTCCAAAAGGGGGTATTCACAGTGATGCCATAGATCAACCTTTCTGTGAACATTAAATTACCAGTGTCTTTAAAGTTAAACTTTAAGTGAGCTTTAGGTCATTTATATAAGCAAATGTTCATTAAAATGTAAAAACAGTGGAAATGAGCTTGCATTAATAATTTATCAATATTGGCACATACCAGTAAATTAATATAATGTTGATAAATGATATGGTTCAGATATACTGTGGATCCTACGTATAAAGAAAACCTATGAAGAACAAATACACTGCTGTTCAAAAGTTAAGTCTGTAAGATTTTTTAGATGTTTTAGAAAGAAGACTTGCACTCATCAAGGCAGTAAAACTGTAATATTGTGAAATATTATTACAACTTAAAATAATTGTTTTCTATTTTAATATAAAAATGCAATTTATTCCTGTATTGGAAAAGCTGTCATATGATCCTTAAGAAATCATTCTAATATGCTGATTTGCTGCTCAATACATTTTTTTTATTATTATCAATATTGAGAACAGTTGCGCTACTTAATATTTTTTGTAGAAACCATAATACATTTTTTTCAGGATTCTTTAATGAATAGAAAGTTCAAAAGAACAGCATTTATTTGAAACAGAATTATTTTGTAGTATTATACATGCCTTTACTGTCACTTTTGATCAATTAAATTTTTCCTCGATGAATAAAAGTATTAATTCCTTTAAAAAAATGAATAAATAAAAAAAACTAACTCTAAGGTTTTGAGCAGTAGTGTACAAATACAAAACTGACTCAATATGACAGTTTCGGGAATATGAGAGTAGTTAGGTAACATTATTTTTTAAAGCAATCAGTTTGGAAAAAAACACTAAAGTGTTACTTACACCAAACACACTCACACAAACATACACGCACTTGCCTTCATCTCAATGACAGTCTGCAGGGCCTTGGTTTTGGCAGATTCTGGAGCTCCCTCAAATCGTCGGTGGAGATCCTGAGGAGAAAACATGAGACGAGGATCGTGAGGTGAAACCACAGGATAATAACGGCTTCCTCTACCGGCAGCCATCAGTTGATGAGGATCCATACCACCCCACATTATGTGCACCCCAAACACTGATAGTAAAATAACCCAGACTTCTGATTTACACAGCCAAATTGTAAATTCAGCACACTGATATCACTGCATCTGAGGCAGAAGAGACACTTTCAGTCGGCTGGTTTGAGTGTTTATGCATGACTGAGTCCCTTATGAAAAAGATAATGTACCGAGCAACTGACAAATAGAGTGAATGCAACATCCACCAAACACAAAGAGATGCGGCCAGCCTGCCCCCTCTGGGCAATTAAAGACCTCAAAATCATCATTCAAACACAAAGTCTGGACACCAAACCCATCAGATATGAACGCACACAGACAGGCATGGAAAAACAGCCATGCATCTACACGTGTGGAGTCATGGGAAGCATATGGAAAGCGGAGCAGTGCTTCAGGGAATGTAACTGTTGAAAGATGCCGTTGAATAATATTCACATCTAAAAGAGCTACAACATCACTATCTGTTCCCAGGACGTTATAACAGCTGAAATAAAAAATGTTCATGAAAAAAAAAAAAAAAACGTATGTGTTATATTCACTTATAATATTAGTCGCAATGTGATTTAGGGCTGTTTTTCCCACTGCACCTTTAAGAGTTGTATACGTAAATGAACGCTGTTGCCGAATATAGAAGAGGCACTGAAATATCTGGGTGGTTTTGGGAGGGAGGGCTGTAGTGTAAATGTTACAGTATGTCTATTTAATGCACCAAATGCTTTTAAAAGAATAAAAGAGGGGAAAATTCCCATTTTCCATGACATGGTCATTTTTACTAACAGTTCCAGTAAGTCATTAGCAAAGGAAGAATTTTAAATCACTAGATTAAAAGAAGGGCTATTAGTTTATTTCCCCCTGTTCTCGGAAGTCCAACTGGAGGCCCCAATAAATAACCTAAAATGCTCTTCTGATCTCGGTCCAATTTATTATTTTAGCCCAGACTTCACCTGTAACATTTTAATCGTGCATTACTGCATTTAATGGCACTAAACTCGCTGAGACCACAGCATATTACTTACAATACCTTATCTACTACTATATATTACAAGGATGCATTAAATTGATCAAAACTGACAGTAAAGTCATTTAAGATGTCACGAAATATTATTTTAAATACATGCGGTTATTTTGAACTTTCTATCTATCAAAGAATTCTGAAAAAAAGTATTACAGTTTCCACAAAATATTAGACAGAAAAAAAAAAACGTTAAATGCACAGGTAGTTCCAAGTCAGAAATCATTGTGATTATTCATTTTGAAAATCATTCTGAAATTGTAATAATATTTCACAATATTACTGTCTTACTGTATTTCTGCAAGAGACTATAAAAGGCTTTTCAAAAACAATAAAGAATTTTACAGACCCCAAACGTTTGAACAGCAGTAGTTCAGAGGGTTGTTTGTAGCCATGTAATAAGTATGCTACGTGGACATTATGTAAATAAATACATAAAATCCTGATCACCCAGTCAAGGTTTCTTTTTCGTGATAATTATGTATCACAAAATTATTATACATAATTATTATACTTCTATA